TAATAAGCTAAAATTTAAAAATTTATTCTATTACCTGTAATAATTGCCACACGGAATACATCGGAGAAACCTCAAGAAGTTTAAATAAAAGATTATAGGAACATAAGAGGGATCATTTACAAAAGAACACATTAAATGCATTAGTTGATCAACATAAAAAGACTGGGTACAATTTAGATTTTAAAATGCTACTTTAATTAAAAGAGAAAACAATTTAAACAATTTACTAAGACAAAAAGGTTTAGAAAAAATTCATCGCTATATCATCCATAATAAATTATATATATATATATATATATATATATATATATATATATATATATATATATATATATATATATATATATATATATATATATATATTAACGGTGTAGTAATGGATAGCGGCTTGATTGAGGAATCGCAGAGCCGATTTCGAATTCCAGTCGAATCCGTTACATTCACTTAATATCACTGGGAAAGGTATGAATCCTCTTCTTCTTCCTCAGGCTATGGGTAAATAGCAGGTCAGACTGGGTTCTATAGCCTTGGATGGCAATTGATCTAGGAGAAGGACAACTCTGAATTCAAAACCTGCGGAGTGTCGTTTGGGAACCTTGTGGCATTCGGTGCACCAGGTCTCTGTATTCGTCCCTTCAAAAAGTGTGGATGGTCCTGCACGAAACCTTCACCACTATAATCAAATCTCTTGTGCCGTTGTCGGGCTGTCGGTTTCCTGGGAACTGATCTGCTTGACCCTCATACGTCGAATTCGACGGGAGAGTCGACTATATGATGTAATGAATATGCATACACCTGGGTTCCCCCTCACTGTAATATGAGTTGCCGACGCGTTTTGTCCACATTGGACGAAACGCGTCAGCAACTATTAGTTTTCCTATTGTCATTTATATTTATAAATAGAGAGATATGTGAGACATTCATTTAATATGTTTCGCTTTTATTTAAACTTCATCAGGATATTTTGGGAAATAAATTACGGAAGAGAAAGTTGGTGTTTATAGTTCAGTATTTTGTATTGGTCAATTTTCTCAAAAGTCATTGTCTTGCTCTGTTTACTATGTGTGCGTTATGAAAGGGCGCATTTAAGCCTCAGACGCTGATGAAGCTTAAAAAGCAAAAAACATTTTAAATTTATAAAGGTTCTTTTTATTTGCTCTTTTTAACATTTTAAAAAGTATTAAATGAAGATTATGTATTTTAGTTATTCTTTTTTTTTTTTTTCACCCATTAAAATGGATAAATAGGATTTATTCCTATTAAATCAATTATTTTCTGTTTTCTACGCATATTTAGTCATTATGCATTTGTGTACAAAGTTAATTGTATGAAAAGTATGTTTATTCATTCGTTGTAAAGACAAAAAACTTAAAATTTCTGTGCACGAATATTTGTTTCTCCCAATGTGGGTATATATATATATATATATATATATATATATATATATATATATATATATATATATATATATATATATATATATATATATATATATATATATATATTTACATATTTATTTTTAAATATATATATATATATATATATATATATATATATATATATATATAATTCTGTAATTCTGTTCACATTATCTTGAAATATTCATAAAGCATAGACAAATTGTGAAAATTCCGGAATAGTTTTTATCGTCTTTGAAATTGTAATTCAATTCCAAATCTTGAAATTATTTCCAAAATTAACCTTAAAGAATATTCGATTAACCATTTCTTTTGTGTTTTTTTTTTTGTTTCTTTACTTTTCTCTCTTCTTTTAATGTCTGTCAAGAATCTTCCTGTTTTTTATTTTCTTCACACTTTTTTTTTCTTTCTTTCTTTCTTCTCTCATTTTTTCTTTTTGCAGTTACTATGCTGATTCTTTCTTTCTTTCTTTCTTTCTTTCTTTCTTTCTTTTTTTTGGGTCTTCTTTATATCGCATTCTTCCTTTATTGTTTCTATGGAGATTCTCTACTTCTTTCTTTCTTTCTTTCTTTTTCCTTTCTTTCTTTCTCATTTCCCTTTGCAGTTACTATGCTGGTTCTTTCTTTCTTCCTTTCTTTCTTTCTTCCTTTCTTTCTTTCTTCCTTTCTTTCTTTCTTTACTGTTTCTCGTTGAATTTTTCATTCTTTTTTTCTCTTTCTTTCTTCTTATTTAACTTTACTATTTAGATGCTGATTCTTTTTTTCTTTCTTTCTTTCTTTCTTTCTTTCTTTCTTTCTTCCTTTCTTCCTTTCTTTCTTCCTTTCTTTCTTTCTTTTGTTTGGGTCTTCTTTATATCGCATTCTTCCTTTATTGTTTCTATGGAGATTCTTTCTTTCGTTTTTTAATTTCTTTCTTTCTTTCTTTCTTTCTCATTTCCCTTTGCAGTTACTATGCCGATTCTTTCTTTCTTTCTTTTTTTCTTTACTGTTTCTCGTTGAATTTTTCATTCTTTCTTTTTTCTCTTTCTTTCTCTTCATTTTCCTTTAATTTTTAAATGCTTATTCTTCCTTTCTTTCTTTCTCATTTTCTTTTGCTGTTTCTATACTGATCCCTATTTTTTCTTTCTTTCTTTCTTTCTTTCTTTCTTTCTTTCTTTCTTTCTTTACTGTTTCTCGTTGAATTTTTCTTACTTTCTTTGTTATTCTTTCTTTCTTTCTTTCTTTCTTTCTTTCTCCCAGCCTTTCTTTCTTTCTTTCTTTCTTTCTTTCTTTCTTTCTTTCTCATTTTCCTTTGCCGTTCCTACGCTGATTCTTTCCTTCTTTCTTTATCTGACTTTATTTATTTATTTTGTTCATATTCTTTTTCTATCTTTTGTAGATTTTTTTTTAATCTCTTCCTGAACCTTCTTTATCATTTTTTTCTCTTTTTCCCTTCGGACATATTCGTCACCGCTTGCTGATGAGGTCGATCTCGGAAGGGCTCCCCTCAACCCACGTCATACTGCGATAAAAGATAAGGGTTTCATTGCATTAATCTGGCCGGGTCCCCACTTCAATAACATTAAACCAAACTCAAACCTGATCCTTAAAACTAACCAGCTACTGTACCCCCCTACCTACATACCAGAAATCCTCCTGAAATTCTTTGGAATAAAAAAAAAATGAATTAAAAAAATGTAGTTTTATAAGATGATGAAGATCGTCTCCATCATCATAATGGCATTTAGAATAGTCTCGAAATCACTGGAATCGTGGAAATATTCTGCGAGAGTACTTGAGAATAGTGCCATAGAATGGATTTGCTGTCACTCAAACCTTACTGATGATGACCAGCAGATATCTAATATATACGCGCAAATATATTTTTAATAATTATGATACTAAACAATACAACAATTAGAACAACAACAATATATATAGAAATATCACTTGTAATGTCAGGGTCCCTTTGGAAGGTGGGTTTTCTCCGCTCCAGTAAATATCTGACTCCATATCTTTTACATTTTTAAGAGCCAGATCAGGTCGAAAATGGAGAACTGTTGCCTCGTTTTGGCGGGAGCTGCCCAGTCCCTACTTTCCTGTCTTGATAGAGTTCACGAGCGTCTCCGAGTCCTTGCTGAAGAGGAATTATTTTCCACCTGCCAACCTCTCTCTCTCACAGGTGGGATATGGCGAACCTCCCACTGATCTATCACTACTTCCATAGAAAGTGCTCGGACGAACTACATTCCTTGCTTCCGCCAGGCCCAAACCTTCACGGCTAGGACCCGCCCTACCACTTCCATAGTAGTAAATCACCCACGTTACCGCCATATTCCATCGACGAAGAGTAAGTTCCGCTCAAACAGCTTCTTCCCACGAAACATTGCCTTATGGAACAGACTCCATAGAGGTTATTTCCCCGATCACTATAATCTTAACCTGTTCAAGTCGAGAGTTAACCGTTATCTTCCCCACTTATCCATATAAACTAGTCCTTAACATAAACATCTATTTAGAGTGACCCTGGTAAGGGTGATCCTTACGATAAGAACAACAACTTCCTATCTTTTTTAATGTCCGCCTTTTTATTACCCCACTTCTATGTTCTGCAATCCGTTTATACAAGCATTTTAGACACGTTACGAGCTGTCTATATTTCTAAGATGAGGTATTATGTACACTATTTAAATTACACGGACTATTGTCCTCATCTTTGTCGTCATATTTATTACAACGTTTCGGCCCTTCAGTATCTGTCTATATTTCTGAGATGAAGTATTATGAACTTCGGATCATCAATTTAACTGTTCTTTCCTATTACATCAATCCACACACACATACACATGCATATATATATATATATATATATATATATATATATATATATATATATATATATATATATATAACGTGGGAAAGTTTTGACCTGTTTACGTCATCAGATAATTTTATTTCACATGAGAAATCTACACGAGGGATCTTTATTTTTTATTTTTATTTTAATTCTATTTTTTGACTTTCGATTTCCCGTTCCATTTTGTGAACGGTTTTGAGAACACATTCAAATCCCATTAGTACCCTGCTTGTTCCATAGTAAATGCGAGAGAGAAAGCTCTAACTAAATATACACTGTAATTGTCAACTTCAAAATCAGATACACATCAATGACTAAGCAGAAATGTGTTTGCAAAATTCTCCCCGCGATTCCAGATATCTACATTTGCACACAGTTATATATATATATATATATATATATATATATATATATATATATATATATATATATATATATAGATAGATAGATAGATACACTTAGTAATCTGTTGGTATAATTCAGACATGTTCTATTAAGACTAAGAATTTGAAATATTTTAAAACTGACTCACAAAATAATTTTCTTTACAATTGTAATTCAGATACCTTTAGTAAATGACCATTTTTACCTATAAATTTTAATTTAATTTAATATATATATATTTCGCAATCATCAATGATGACCTGTCTATGTTTCGGTTTATCATAACTTGAAAGAATAACTCACCCACCCTCTGATCTTATTTGTTTATTTAGCGTGGATCTAACATTTAATTGGTTAATAAAGACATACCCACAAGTCTTAATTCTGACCTTATGTCCCTACTTTAACTTTGTTTTTAAATTTCCTTAAAAATTATTTAATCGCCAGTTAATTACCATCGCTCCTGAAGAAGTACAATAAAAATATTGAAACATGGGAGCTTTTGTGCTTTTAATAATAATTACAATCTCTTATAATAAAAATATAAGATCAGAAGTGTCTAAGTCATGGACAAGGACGCTATCTATCTATGATATTCTGTTCATTATCTCTCTTTCTCTCTCTCTCTATCTATCTATCTATCTATATATATATATATATATATATATATATATATATATATATATATATATATATATATATATATATATATATATATATATATATATAACTTATTTGTTTAAACGTTATTTTTAATGGGTACTCATACTTGATTAGATGCTCTGTTGTTATAATTAAACAGTATATTTATTTACATTTACCTGCCTGAATATTCGAGAAATCTTGTTAGAAAAATGCACACACACACACACACACACACACACACACACACATCATAGATGCCTTTTTTTCTGTGTATAACTGTACACACATATTAAAAAGTCAGAAGTGTCTAAGTCATGGACAAGGACGCTATACACTAATGGGTTAAATAGCTTTTAGCATTCTAGTTTAGTAGGAGTTAATGAAACCAGGCGAAGTAATTATTAAGTTCAGAGGGTAGACCAACGTTTGGCCTACAATGCGCGCACGCACACACACATAGTAAAGGTAATAAATCCGTTGGAATATAATCCAAGTGGATCCTAATAATATCAAATATTAAAATTGATCCACAAAAAGAGCTCAAGGTATTTATTATTACAGAGAATATAAATTACACACTAAATCCCAAATAATTCCGACATGAACACAGTCCATTTACCGAGGTTGAATAAGCCCGACGTACTTCACATTGGTTGAAATAGATGTATACCCATATGATGTAATTTTGGATTCTGTTCTGTAATATATATATATATATATATATATATATATATATATATATATATAATATTGATAATATTAGTGGTCAATATATATATATATATATATTTAAATTTCCAAGAGGATAGAATACATGTAGAGCTCAATGTCCAGGACAGAGCAAGAAAAATAATATAAAAGTCTCAAACACTTATATTCCATCGTTATAATTTATTACATTGGAATGGTAATCCAATTCGATCAATATATTCATATATATATATATATATATATATATATATATATATATATATCTTACTGGAATGTCCGTCTAGGTATAGTTATATATAGAAATGCGCACGTAGGTATATATATATATATATATATATATATATATATATATATACTTGCATATGTATAGATAGGTAATGTATATTTGTATATAATTTATAGGTATAGTTATATTTAGTATCTCGGCTCTAACTGCTATATTCTGATGACCTATCTATATCTATCTATACATTTACAAATATATAAACACATAAATAACTATGTCTTTCGCAAGCAACAAATGCTTAAGTGGAATAGTGTAAATGTTGTCGTCAACAAAGATGAGAAGCGACCTCATTCGTCGATAATTTGCAAGATTTATTTGTGACGGGGGTCTGCTTTTGTATATGTGTTTCCGTTCGGGTGGCTGTAGACGCCAATTTTGGGCAGCCAATCGACAGGGAGAAACTCTCTTCATGGCGATTGATGAAGACGGAATTCAGTAAAGAGCTTTGATCATAAGCCCGAGTTGTTATAATGACGTCCGCTCGGCTAAAATCGATTGAACAATGCCAAACGAAGGAAGACGCTTATGTCGGAAGTGTTTTGATATCTTAGTATTATATCACTTTGAAGGCATACGACACAGTCTTATTTTAGCGGAAGGAAGGAAGGAAGGAAAGAAGTAAGGAAGAATGTCCAGTTCCATTTAGATAGCGTTCGGCAGGTCATGGCTATCAAACAACGAACCGGCATTACTGATTTTCATGCGACTCGGAGGTACAACGTGGAAGAGTAGATATCCTGCGCCAAGATATTTCTTCATGAACCTTGGCCACAATGGACCAAGAATTAAACAAGAATTAGTTTTTGGGAAGTAACAGTAGATGATCAAGAGAAATGACACGATATTCTTGATATTTCGATGTCTATTTATAACATCTTTAGAAAAACTAATCTGTGAGTATCTGACACTGTTTTTTTGTACAAGCTTACGCATCTATCTATCTATTTATCTCTGTTTATATATCTATCTATCTATCTATCTATCTATCTATCTATCTATCTATCTATCTATAGTAGTCTGTTCCTATCTATCTATCTATCTATCTTAGTCTGTTCCTATCTATCTATCTATCTATCTATCATATTTTGTTCATTTTCGCTCCCCCCTCTCTTTGTATATATCATAATCTGTTCATTATCTATCTATCTATCCATCTATCTATCTATCTATCTATCTATCTATCTATCTCATTCTGTTCATTATCTATCTATCTATCTATAATGCTCGGCTACTTGTTTCCAAGACAACCCATCTGCTCAGGCACATATGTGAGTGTTCAACACACACACACACACATAACACATTTGTAGTTTATACTGCAGATCGGATCCAAGTTACAGTTTCCAGGAGAGTGTGCATAATCTATCGAAATCCACAGTTTGAAGAAGACCAATAAGCACAATCGCTCTGCCCTGATATAGGCGTTTGGTGGCTAAATGGTTAGAGACTTTTAACTTTTTAAACGACCACAACACCCAGATTCGAATCCTTGAATTGTCATATTTTTTGTGTGACAAGTATTTATATACAAGAGCAAAATTACTATTGTTTTTTCAAAATTTTTGGTATAGACAAATAACATTTTTGCTCTTATCGATAAATACTTGTCACAAAATAAAATCGTTACATTTGCCTTGATAAAGTCCCTCTGAGGACGGAAAACGCAAACTAAGATAAATTTTCCGTTTGTTTTTATTTAGGCAATCCTTTTACATATATATGTAAAAGGATTGTCTAAATAAAAACAACCTGATATCTTTAAACACACACACACAGAGAAACACTCACACACAGGCACACACATACACATTTAGTGCATTGGGGCAGCAGATCATTATTCAAACTTCTATTGTTAAATATAACAGACATCGAATGTCTATTATGTTTGATCAGGAGCCGTTCTAAACTTCGTAGAGTGGATTTAATTTCGAGGGAAAAAGACAAAAACTGTCCAATAATTTTTTTATTATGCTGTGACTATATCTAAGCTTCAGCATAATTACAATGTTCGTAATATTTTATTTAAAAGCGGGCTCAATATAAAGTAAAGCAATATTATTTATTTTAACATAATACATCGAAAATGTGTCAAAATCGCTACACAACTGCAGCCGTGTTTCGATGCCTATCAAATGCATCTCATCAGGCGTTTGTAAATTACTGGCGAGTGAACGATCTATTTGATATAGATCGAAATCAATCGTTTAGTAATTTACAATCGCCTGATGAGATGCATTTGATACGCATCGAAACATGACTTCAATTGTGTAGTGATTTTGACATGTTTTCGATGATATATATATATATATATATATATATATATATATATATATATATATATATATCATGTAATAATGTAGTGATTTTCTTTCGATTTTCAATGATAATGTTATTAAGCTTATCAGACGATATGAAAGGAATTTGCATAAAATAAATAGACAAAACTTTTCTATATTATTTAATGAAAGATGCATCAATGAAAAAATGCTACCTTTCTGTTTTACACACACACACAACATATATATATATATATATATATATATATATATATATATATATATATATATATATATATATATGTGAGAAATAAATGCAACAAACGCCGTTTACAATTTTCCATTAAATACGCTAAAGATACAGAGACGCTTAGCTTTAAATTTAAATATTTTGCCGTCCGGTCTAATGTACGTGTATAGCCCAACCAACCTAATTGACTTTTCTGTTTATTTTTATTTTTATTTCATCAATCTTGTTTTTAAATATCCCACATTGTATCAGTATCAGTTTTATCGGGAATGGATCATACAATGTACGGCGTGTATTCAAGAGACGTAACCAAAAAAACGTGGAGTGATATCATTCAGTTAAATCGTATTATCAAATATGACAGCCATGTTTTTTTTTTTACTACACCAACGAGAATTTCTCTGGTCAAGAAGTCGTAACGATGACTAAGCATGTGCTACTAAAATGTCTCAGAGGAACAGAACGATATAAGCAATATCACTAGTGAAATTTCGTAAAAACTTCATTCACCCTGATATGTGATCTCAAGTAACACAATTGCCAGATACTGAAAAAGAGGAAACAATAATAATATTTGTGTTTTAGCACCTAAATTCAGTAAAGTCTGTTTTGTTTGTGGCTGAAGGATCCTAGAAATATCATAGACTTAACATACGAGAAACGAGGAAGTTTTAAGAAGATGAAAACAAAATGGCGTTCTACTTAGAACGAGAGAGTTGAAAATTCTAGAAATCATAATGAGTCTAATAGGCTTGGAGAATTTGACACTCACATGACATATTGAAGCTAAGAGAGATAAAGGAAACCTACGTAATGAACTTGTCTTAATTTCTGGCTGAAGGTCAGGTGGAAGAATCTTGTGGGTCCAAACCGTGTCTTTGATACGGGAACGTCAATTCTACTACATTTCAATTTTCATAAATTAGAATTCGTATAAAATATAAACTTTATTGCAACTCATATGCAAAATTGGTGAACAATTCAACTAAAACAATTGAAAATAAATACAATATATCTAAATACAAATTACATGTCATAATAGATGATTCCATCTTAAATATTGTTATGCTTGCCTTCTACGCATGCTCATGAGTTACGCTGTCACAGGACGAATATTTGAATTAATCTAATCGTCCCTAAAAAATATCCTTTAATGAATGTCGTTTTGAACGGGAATGCTTCCAGATCTTTTCATATTAACGCGGGAATCCTCCAAGACCCTATGCTAGTTCCTACGACGTTCCTCCCGATATCATATAACTCCCAGCTTTTTATTTATCCAGATGACACAACTATTTACCCCCCCTTTATTAGTAAATAATCTTTTAGTGAAGGCTGTATTGAGAATATCATAGACTTAACATATGAGAAATGAGGAAGTTTTAAGAAAGATGAAAACAAAAGGACATTTCATAGACACACACAGAGGAACACACACACACACACACATATATATCGACAGTTCGTGACATTTGTTTGTTTTTTTTTAAAGTGCTCAATACAAATTAGACCAAAATATGATTATAATATTTTTATTATAAGAGATTATAACATTTTAAGTCGCTACACAAAAATTTTCCTGTTTCAATACTATGATCATACTTCCATAGGCGATGGTTTGTAATCTTTTATAATAAAATAAATATATATATATATATATATATATATATATATATATATATATATATATATATATATATATATATAAAATGTTTCAAAATTAGAGACATGACAAAGATCATTCTATTTCAAATAGATCAACCATTTTTAGAGGTAATTTTTAACATCAACATAATATTTTTCTTGTTAAAAAGTTGAATAATTTTAACACATTTAACATTACCGATGGAAAATAGTAAATTTTATATGTTTTTTTTCGATACTTAGCATGAGTAAAACAAATTCATGGATTTGGACCAAAGAAAGAAAGAATGAAAAATAATCCCAAAATGCTGTCAAAATCCATGAATATTTTTCATCCTTCAATCATCAGTTGTGCTGAATTTAATTTGATAAGACCAACATTTGCTTTTGTCACAAAGTACTGCCGGGACCCCCAATTTAGTTTTGTCCTTGCCCCGGTAGAGAGCTGAGGTGGGTATCATGCACTGCCCCCCCCCACCTTGGCTGGTGGAAGAGGAGCGATAGCGAAAAGACAAACTTTACTAAGTGATACGAAGGACGAGAAATAATCGCTCACATTTTGAAGGGAGACGAAAAGAAAAAAGAAACAAGAAAGAAGTAAGAAGCAGAAAGGAGAAGAAAAAGAAGAAAAAGAAGAAAAAGAAGAAGAAAGAAGAAGAAAGAAAAAGAAAAAATAAGAAAGAAATAGAAGAAAGAAAAAAGAAAAAAGAATAAACAAGAAACAAGAAAAAAGAAGGAAGAAAGAAAAACAAAGAAGAAAGTAGGAAGAAGAAAAAGAAAAAGAAGAAAGAAAAAAGAAAAAATAAGAAAGAAATAGAAGAAAGAAAAAAGAAAAAAGAATAAACAAGAAACAAGAAAAAAGAAGGAAGAAAGAAAAACAAAGAAGAAAGTAGGAAGAAGAAAAAGAAAAAGAAGAAAGAAAAAATAGAAAAATAAGAAAACTATAGAAGAAAGAAAAAAGAAAAAAAAAAATAAACAAGAAAAAAGAAAAAAAAGAAGGAAGAAAGAAAAAAAAAAAAGAAGAAAGTAGGAAGAAGAAAAAAAAAAAGAAGAAAGAAAAAAAAAAAATAAGAAAAAAGAAAAAAGAAAAAAGAATAAACAAGAAACAAGAAAAAAGAAGGAAGAAAGAAAAACAAAGAAGAAAGTAGGAAGAAGAAAAAGAAAAAGAAGAAAGAAGAAACAAAGAATGAGTAGAAGAAAAAGAAAAAAGAAAAAGAATGAAAGAAGTAGAAGAAGAAAGAACGAAGAAAAAAAGGAATAAAGAACAAGCAAGAAAAAGAAGGAAGAAGGATAAAAAAGAAGAAAGAAAAAGAAAGACGAAAGAAGAAAGAAGAAAAAAAGAAAAAGAAAGAGAAACAAGAAAGAAAAAGAATACAAAGAAAGACGAAGAAGGAATATGAAGACGAAAGAAAGAAAGAAAGAAAGAAAGAAAGAAAGAAAGAAGAAAAAAAGGAAAAGAAAGAAGACAAAAAAAAAGCTTTCTCCATGTCTCAGTGAGTATCAAATTATCCAAGCATTCCTTTCTTCATAATTTGTCTAATTAATTTGAGTTGCATCTTTCTGATTTTAAGTATAAGTGTACATTTTGTTTCCGTTTTCGTTAAGCGTTGAAATTGCTAAGCGCAACCGCAAGTTCTATGCTAACAGTTTCTTCTCTCGCATTTTTCGTTTGGTGGAATTCTGTTCCTTGCTTCTTGCTTTTCAGTCAAGTTTGATCTTCAAAACTTTAAATGTCAATCGTCATCTGTTTCCATGAATTTTTATTGTTAATTCTCAGCTTATTTTACTCTTAGTAAACCTTTGCGTCTTAGTGGTTTTATCGTCTTCCTTGTGGGTGAAAGAAAAGGACTTATTTGTCACTTTCGCACTCTCTCCCTTGTATTCTTCAGAAACCCATCTCTGTTGCCTCCTCTCCTCTTCATCTGCAAGGAAATTGTTCAGAATTCACAGACAAATGATTACGTTTCAGAAATATCTGCGGATTTTTAATCTACAAGAATATTTTTTATCTAAGAATTTTCTCGAATACTAAAGCGTAGTCATGACACAAA